ATGTCTCTTAAACTTTGTCAACAACAATCTACACAAAGGTAAAAACAGTTTTCAAAATATTTTTCTGATTTGGATGCCAAATAATTTAAAGAATCTACCAGAAACAGCAAAGTTTGACTCCAAGGAAACCTATTCAAAATACACCTACTCCTCAGTGTTTTATATCTTTAAACTTTGTCAACAATTGTTTTACTCTAAGGTAGAACTAAGAAGTATCTGTTTTGGATGTTCCTATATCATTTTTTATAGTTCAGTTTTTTGTTGTTATCTAAAAAATTGTAATAAATGATTATATTAGATAAGAACTAATAAAATATTAAAATGTAATTAATTTTTTTGTTAAACAAAATATAAAATAAAAAAAAAAATTTCAGTCAAATAAAAAAACCTTGGTACATAATTTTTTTCACATAACCTGCTCCAATCTAATAAAATTGTGTAAAATTTTAGTATATTATACCTATAGACCTATTAGATATCTAATATAAATTTTGTACTATATTTACTAACCAGAACTTGGATAATAAAAGTCTAAAAAATGTCTACAATAATATGGTAAGCCACTGTAAATAACAGAAATAAATATTATAGAACAAAACTAATAAAACTCTTAAAAAGCTTAATTGTCAAATTATATATAGTTCAATTTAGTATTGCTTGCAGTAAATATTTAATTGTAACTTTTTTATAGCACAACTAGGGCTTCAACACTTGTGATTTTTTAAATATAAAATTTGATAATAAGCCGCAAATAAAAATACCATAATATAGTTAGAGGCATGGCCTCACCATTAATATTAAAAAAAAATACCATAATATCACAAAATCGCAGTATAATACGTATCATATATATCGTAACGAAAAAATTAAAATTTAAATTATACGTAATCTACATTACAGTGGCGATCATAAATAATGCAGCAAATTTTTTTTTAGTTAGATCGTATTATTTCGCTAGCTTTTTTTTTTATTTTATTCGTAAATAGTAGAGCTTTTAAATATAAAAATTTAGAAAGTATTATTAGGCCAAATTTTTTTATAGGTACGAGCTTTATTTTAAATAGCGTGTTGCATTATTTTTGCTCGTTTTAACACAAAACGAATATAAAATAATTTTTTTTTTTTTTTTTTTACAAATATAAAAAAATATATTTTTTTATTTTAATAATTTTGGTCACTACTATCTGATGCGTTTGTCTTGTGCTTTACTAGCATTCAAAATTTTATTCTTGAAAGGGTAAATACGGGTACCAATATTGATTTTCTGTCAAGTCACCTAGATCATGTGTCAAAAATCCTTCTCGCCCAAACTTTGAATAGAAAGTTCCTAACCAAGATCTAAATAAGGGTAAAAATAGAACAACCAATGTAAAGCCTTAATTTGATTATTTTCAATTATTATATTTAAATTACCTTCGAGAATATAAATAAATTCATAATCCCATAAAACTCTCACAAAAAATATCCCATAAAACTCTCACAAAAAATTCATGACCGAAACTCATTATTCGTTGCGTAATCAATCTTGCTAAGGCTCTAGTATAGTAAAATATAATATATACTATATATCATTATAAACTCCTCCAAAATCCTATTTAAGTTTAATTTAGAAGCAATCTAATAGCTTCTCAAAACACTTGATTTAAAAAAACTTTAAAACTTTGCCTCATTATATCGAATTACCTAAGACCAGCCTTGATGAACTGATTTTCATGCTTTTTTGTGAATTCGAGCTAACGTTTTTATTTACATCGATGGGGTTTTTTCACTTACCTCCTAATACTAAACTATAGTTTTTAAGTATGGAAAGAATAATTAACTATTGAAACCGTTATTTTTTTCAGGTGGAACCGCTTAAACGGCATTTATGTAACAACTTGAAATTATTTAATTCTCACCTCCGGCAAGTAGACAATCAACCCTTAATATTCTTCACGAGTGTGGTATCCAACCATTTTTTAAACATAAGAAGCCGTGGAGATGCCAATATTATGTGCCCAACCTATCCCTTTGTGGTATATCACTTTATTAGGGTTACGGCACGATTCACTGAAAGTTGTTTACCCGCCAATTCATTTCACCGACACCGTAATGCCGACATGCTATTTCATCTACAGCACATTTTTTCGATAAGACATATATTTTGACATTACATGTTTTCGACAATCCTTTTCTTAGACATTTCCCTGACAATTATTTCTCCGACATAAGATTCTAACCTCTAAATAAACCAAACCCTAAAGTCAAGTCGAGCCAATTTTATGTCGAGGAAATGATTGTCGGTGAATGTACTGTCTAAAAAAAGGATTGTCGAAAATATGCAATGTCGAATATATGTCTTATCGGAAAAAAATGTGCTTTAGATGAAATAACATGTCGTCATTACGGTGTCAGGAAAATAAGTTGGCGGGTAAATAGCTTTCGGGCTTTATTAGTGGAGCAATCAAAATTCAGCAGATCGACCAAAATTTAGGGTCGGAATAGGCCCGGTGCTAGGCCGGCATTAAGCAGCCCACTATGCTATAGCAAAATTATCATCTGGGCAGCTTTACTTAGTACGTGTGCTACCTACGTGGGCTCTCATTTTATTACATAGTAGAATTTTGGGTGAAATTTATCAATTCCGGCCTATTCCGATCCTAGAATTTGGTCGATCTGGTTGCTCCACTAATCTATCCGTACAAATTTTGAACTGTCCTAGCGTTACCAATCTTAAAAAAAATTCGCTGCTAGATTAGGGTTAGGCTTTATTATTAAATGAAGTTAGAAGGTACTTCATTAGTACCAAATCTGATTGGTCTGTGAAATTTTTTAGATTAGTAACACTAGGACAGTTTTAATTTTGATAGACTTCGATCTTGTGACACTACAATCTTACATCTTTTTGAAGTAAAAAAAGGGCTCGCAAAGGTTGCAACTAATTCTAAAGAGACACAAAGTTGTGACTTTACAGCAGGCATCTCTAGTTCAATTATAAATATCGGGTGCATTATTACATTAATAACTTTAAAAAAACGTACTTCTAATTTTATTACTGATAACCATTGACCATGGTACACAGTCACCGGGGATTTATTCAAGAGTTTTCTTTATTTTTAAATTAATAGTACATGTGGTTACTGTGCAAGGAACCGGGTGCTATATTTGGGATAGTTAATCTAGGAAATAATTAAAATATTGTTATGCTCGGGATTTTATTTAGGATTTAAACCGGGTGAGTCGTGCATACATGCTCTTATCAATATTACATTATTATTAAGCATATGCTTCGTATGTATCAAAAAATAGGAACATACGTATATAGCAAATGTTTAATATCTAATGTTTGTCGCACGCATACATATAATAAAGAATCGATTACGTTATCGAAGATTTTATATAGAAATATATTCCTAATTTTATATAAGTGAGGAGGCAGTAAATTTAAATGTTTAATATATGCTAGTTACACTAGTTGCCACTGGACCATAATGGGAAATTGTCTAAATGTGAGTGTAATTATTAAGCTGAAATTCTAGTAGCACATAAAAAACTACTACATACGAACGTATATCGATATGTATATCCATATACATAGTTAGCGTATTTAGTATTGTTTTATTGGTAAACACGTTAAAAAGTAAATTCTACGTAGATACGGACGTACTTATTCAGCGAAGCACCTTCTTATTTTACAATGAGTGGGCCAACATCCAAATTAGAAATATTTGTGTGACAGGTTCTTTAAATTATTTTTATATATTTATAATTAATAATAATTGTAAAATTGTTCTAAAAAAAAATGATAATAATAATAAAATTTCACTTTCTCTTGAACTATAACATTCAACAATCAGCGAATGAAATAATTTGGATTACATGACATTTGCTTGACACATACTTTCTGGATTGGCCACTCGGAAAAGTATAATTACAATTTATAACCGTGTAAGGAAGTGCCAAAATTACGCCTCAGTTATATTAAGATGTGATATCTACTAAGAAATTAAAAATAACTACCGCTACGGGAAGGCATTTATGGTAATTATCATTTTCGAATAGAACTTAAATTAATGACGCATATACGAAGGGTTTCCAGAACCAAGAATCACTATCACTTTTAATGTACATCCAAACAAATATTTGAAGAAAATATTTAAGATATCAATAAAGTTCTTGGTGACTTACTGAAGCTCCGTTTGGAATTTTGGATATAAATACGTACATACGTAAGTATTGCTCGTTATTTGATTATGTCCAAATATGGACAAGTAGTAAAACAGTTAACATTGGTGCTGCGTTTCAAAACTATTAAGTTAGCATCAATGTTTTCAAATTAATAAAAATTAATCTAACTCTAATATCAGAAATTTCAGGTACGTACGTACGTACGTACGTACAGTTTGTTTCAAATAAATGGAGATATTCGTGAACTAACGTTAGTGGCTTAAGAGTAAGAAAACTTTGTGCTATGAATGGTTGCACAGACTCTGATAAACCAGTTTTTCGAATATTTTTTTATACGTAATCGCATTTCGGATAATTTTCTTCATATGTTAATGAGGTTCCTAGGTACATTTGTCATACTAAGTAGTGCCCAGATTCCTCATCTCATCTTTTCGCTCTTTCATTTTAACTTAAATTTTTAATACATGATTTGGAATATTTATTACATTATTTTATATATATACATTGATAAAAAAATTTTAATTTTATTATATTATTGAAAAAAAAAGGTATTTGATTATTCCAACATTAGTAACAGATAAGGGTGGTGATGATAAAATAAATCAAAATCTGATTTAATACATTTGCTATTAAACTATATAATAAATATTAGTAAACCAATAAAGAAATCAACGATAATACTCTAATGCTAAGACATTATTTAAATAAATATATAGCTACTTTAATAATTGTTTTCAATGTACGCAGAGAATAGAGAGTCCAAAAAGACTGAAGATGATGAAAGAGAGAACATTACAAGTAGTGATTCACCGATACCTACAAGGTCATCATTTATGCAAAACACAGTAGATTATCTAGAATATCTTGCAGAGCAAGAAGAATATGCACCACCACGAGCTCCAAAACATGATCCTGGTCCTTCTGATCATTCGTATCAACCTATTGAAATATCTTCTCCATTTGGCCAATATCCGACATATCCATCAAATCCTGAGATGAATGAACAATATTTATCACAGTCATATATACCTCAAGCTGCAGAAATATCATTACCTTTATCTCCTCTAGATGAGGTTCGGAGCAAAATGGTTGATATACAAACAGTTCCTTCACATCAATTAATGATATATTCCCATAGACCGCAATTTCAAAATATTTCTATTGAAATGACAGAAGGCACGATACATTCATCAGCATCATCATCGCAACAAGAAAATATAGCTCCATCGTCATTAACATTACCAGGTGTAACGATGACGAGAAATCGTTCGAGAATTAAAAACCCAAAAATTGAAAATATGCCACAAATACGTTCAGGTTTTACTGCTCAAATACAAACGAGTAATACACCTCTTAGACAAGAATTTCGGGAGAGCGATATTATGTCTCCTACTCATTTTAAACAATTATCGTCACAACACAGGAATAGTAACATATCAACGTTGTTTTTCGGTAGTAGTGTTAGTAGTAATGATTCAATATTACAAACTGAAGTAAGAGTCGCTCATGGCGATCCCGATGACCCTTTATTAAATAATCAAAATCGACTCAATATTTCCAAAATTACCACCCGATCTTTTCCCCAACAACTTGTTCCCCACTATCATCATCAATCACAAAATAAAGAAAGCGAAGACCTTACATCTCCCGTTTCTCCTGGTGCGATAACGGAAACTCCATTATTTAATTCAGATAAAACAGGTTATAAACCAAAAGGTTTAATTATATGCCTCTGTTTTGGTGTTATTGCTGGAATAATCTTTACTTGTATGTATTATTTCTAAATATTTAAATCTTATTACTGTAAATCTAATTTTATTATTAACTCCTTTTTTATTTACATTTATCATTGAAGTATGGGCTATAACTACTTTGATGCCGACTACTAATATACCTAAGACTAATAACAAAAATGTAAACCCTAGGGTTAGTATAATCTGATTTTTTCACTTAAATTCCCCGATTTTTTCATCATGCTCGCATATGTTAATTAACTAATAACCTTTACTTTTTTATTTTTTAGCAATCAGCACCATTGATTTAAGATGTAATTGAATTATGGGTTAATATGAAAAATTTGCCTAAAATCTATATATAAACTTATATATTGCACTATACCTATTTGTAAAAAGTAATGTAAATTAATTTAAAAGATCTGTATTTAATAAAACTTTATACATAGCAAACTGTAACTTTATGATTCATATGATTTTAATTGCTATGAATATATTACTGAAGTATTTACGTTAAACTTGACGTTCTGCGATTAAAATTTTCAAACAGTACGTTCGTTATGTACTGCCAGAGTTTCATTATAAAATGAGTAGATCAAGTTTTTTGAAAAATTATATGCATGTAGATGTAATATTTGCCACTAAAAGGATTCTCTATATTTGTTTCAAATATTGATGCTGCATGTTATTTTGGTTTGATTTAGTACGTACACTCCCCTGACATTGATCACCGGAATTTTGATTTTCACGTTACCTAATGATGATCGTAGCCACATATGT